ATCCTTGGGGGTCTTCAAGAGGAGACTGGACAGACACCTGGTTGGGATCACATGATCCCAGTTTTGGTGACCCTTTTCTTGCCTGCCGGGGCAGGGAGTCAGACTAGATGGCCCCTTCTGATCCTAGAATCTATGAATCTATGTAACAAGTGTACTCTCTAGTCTCGTGGTTTTCAATCTGTGGTCCACAGAACACGGGGGTTCTGCATGAGGTCATCGGGGTTCTACAAAGAGCTCAGGGGTAATGGCAGAGCAGGCTGGGAGACAGTGCACTGCCATTGCAGGGGGAGGGGTTCCCTGGTAGAAAAAGTTAAATGAAAGGGTTCCGTGACTTTAGGAAGTTTGCAAAATACTGCCCTATTCCATCTCCTAGGCCATTACTGAAAATACTGAGTAGTACTTGACTTAGGGCAGGCCGTTGCAAATTTGTTTGACATCTTTCTTAACTTAAGAGTACTAATAATGACTCTGAGTGTGTTTTTCCAACTAGCTGTATACTAACTAATTTACAGTAGTTTCTTTGAGGCCAGGGCTGGATTTGGGCAATGGGACTCCTCATCATGGTTTCCAAGGCTGCTGCATCAGCACCAGAAGCAAAAGAGTTAATGCCACTGCCACTGAAGCCATAGCTAGACAGCAGCAGTGTTTTAAGGAAAATTTGTCATGTTCCAAGCCAAATGAGCCAAATCAATTCCAAATTCGTGAGTCATTCAAGAACCATATATGGCCCTACTACCAGCAAACATCCTCCACCCACACCTGGGATTTCAGATGTTTCCAAATCATTTGGCAGACATCCTATGTGCAGGCCCAGGCCCAGAGGCTTGGGATTCAGATAACCCAGGGTTCAGCCATAAGGCCTCAGGGGCAAGCGAGGGCGGAGTCTCCCAGTTCCATAAAGTTGGCATAAAGACAAGATCATCACACTGGAAATGAAAGTGGGAGGGTAATTATACATTACCTCCGCCCAGGTGCTACCCCATGCCAGAACAACGGTTATCCCCTGTCCCTGGGAAAACCACCCTGGTGATCAACAGTGTTAACTCCTTTGCTGCTAGTGCTGACAAAGAGACTCCTATCCTGCTGGTAGCCACAGTGAGAAGCCCCATGGGCCCAAAGACCAATGCTTCAGGCCAGATCTGACCAATGGGCCATATATTTGATATCCCTTTCCTGACCAGATTTCCCTGGTTTACTTAAGAAGATACCATGTGATATCAAAAGCCTTACTAAAGTCATGATATATCATATCTACTGCTTCTCCCTACCCAGAATGCCCTTTTTAACCACTTTTCTATGAGTTAAAGATAATCTCTTCAGTCAGTTGCTTAAGTACCCTGGAGTGAATTACATCAGGCCCAGTTCATTTGAAAACATCTATCTTTCCTAAGCAATTTCTAACGTGTTCCTTTCCTATTCTAGCCTGAATTCTTATTCCCTTGTCAGTAATGCTAATTGTGTTAGCTCACTGAACAGTTTCCCCTTTCAGTTAAGACTGAAGTAAAACACTTCAGATTTCTTGGCATAGTCAGTTGTCCTCCCCGTTAAATATTGGACTGAGTCTTCCCTTGGAATTCATCTTGTTTTCAGTGTTACATGCTATATCCTTTGCTAGTTGTATCTCATTTTGAGCTTTGGCTTTCTGATTTAGCCTCTACATGTTTCTGTACCTGTAAATGCTTCCTAGTAAAATGACAGTTTTTACTTCTTGTATGACTCTCTCTTGGGGTAATTGGATAGCTCCTGATTTAGCCAAGTCAGTCTCATAAGATATGAACTGTTGTTAACATTTGAAGTGTTTCAGAAATGGAGCGTTTCACCTGTGGACAAAGATGCAGCCCTGTGTTGCACCCCCAGCTGAAGTGCCTCAGAATAATACCACAGCTGCATGCAGTGTTGTGCTCTCCAGCCAGAGGGCATGACCAGGTGCTGCAGCAACCCTCCACCCCCCACCCCCGGGGGATGGGAGGGGCAGAGGGGACTGTCAGTGCTGTCAGTCCTGCAACCTAGCCAGTCACTTTCCCACACTGTACTTGTGCATGCAGTTATTGTGTCCCAAGAGTAGGACTTGCATTTGTCCTTGTTGAATTCCATCTGGTTGACTGCAGACCATTTTTCCTGTCTAGCTGGGTTTATCCAGTCTAGCCTATTCTGAATCCTAACCCTGCCCTTCAGATTGTCTCCAGTTCCTCCCAACTTGCTGTTGTCTACAAATTTGCTAAGTGTACACTCAGTCCCATCATCCAGATCATTAATGAAGATGTTAAACAATACTGGATCCAGGATAGACCTTTGGGGAATCCCACTTGATCCTAGCCATTAAGCCATTAATGGCCACTTGCTAAGGAGGATGTATGAGCTCCCCCAGCCCCAGCTCTGGCCCTTTAAGGAAAAAAAACCCAAGAACCCCTGAACTCACTGGTTCCTGCCTGGTGGGGGGTGATCCCTGCTGCTCCATGCCACATGAGGGTGCTCTTCCACAAGCCTCCCGAAGCCCCGAGGCTGCTGCAGGAGCTCATGAGTCCTAGAGGGGGTTGGGTTTTTTTTCTTAAAGGGCCAGGAGCTGGGGCAGGTGGGGAAGCCATGGGGGCTGAGGAGGTCAGGGAGTTGTGGCAGAGCCCCTCCATGAGGCATGGGGCAGTGGGGGGCAACAGGGATCGCCCCCCGCCTGGCAGCATCCAGTGAGTAGGGGCTTTTTCTTAAACAACCAAGAGCTGGGCAGGCGGGGCAACCATGAGGGGGGTGAGGCTGGGAGAGTGGTTGGGGGCCAGGGGGCACTCAGGGGGGCTGAGGCAGCAGGCAGGGGATGGGGCCTGGCAGGGGTCTCCCCATCGTCCCCTCTCCCCTCCTCCAGCTCCCCCTCCCCCGCCCCCTACTTATCTGCTCCGAATCTTGCTCCTGCTCCCTGCTGCAGCAGGCAGGGACTGCCCGAATCATTGAAGCTCTCCAAAGCTTTTCCAAAGATTTGGAGAACTTCGAATCAATTTGGACCTTTTTATTGGTCCCCTGATTTGA